CGAAAAGTCGTTGAAAATATTTGAGTCATTGCAAGATTTTTTGAACTTCTAATGAAGCAGGACTTTTTTTGTATCTTACTTCAAACAATTTGCTAACTTTTCTGATACATTTTCCTTTCTATCTGGCAAACGGTTGCCAGTGCCAAAAAAATCATAAAATCCTTTTTACTAGAAAATCTCAAAAACTGTCGTAAACCGCTTTTTAATCTTAGTCATGCTCTCAGCATGATAAAAAAAACACATTCTGCAAGAAATATCTCGACAAATCGTTTTAATTGAGCCATCAATGATCGTTTTTTTTGATAGAATTCCTGTAGATTCCACCTCGGACAATGTTGCCACTTAAATAATCCCTAAAAATCCCAGCTTTGAAGATTTGATGGATTTCATGGATAGATTTTCATAAAAAAAACTTCCTATTGCTGTTGACCTAAAATGTGCAAATTTAAATACAGTCATGCTCTCCGCATAGCGAAAGCGTTTTTCTGCCAGTTTTGGATCTGTTGCAGATGGAACAGCTCAACTCCCGCCTGCTGGTAGACGAATGGTTTCCATTAAGTTTTCATTCAATTACAGCGGGAAAACTTCAGCTGCCTTGGCAGATTCCAGGGAGTTTCCCCCAAGGAAATCGTGAGGAATGAACGCGCACAATAATGCAGGTATTTTTATCGCTGTTCTCCCAATTTCCAAGCTTTTAATTAGGAAAAATTGGAAGTTGCGCCGGTAGCTTAAAAACGCTTATCTGCATACACTGGGGCGATTCGACATGAAACAATTCATCAATCTCCGAACAAGGAGGAAACATCCATGGACACCTAAAAGGGAACTGACTTGGCAAAATTTCAATTTAAGCCCAGCAGCGTCATTAATCAGCACCATTGAAAGCGCGTTTTGGCGCAGACCGGCAGATAAAAGAAGCTAGTTAACACCGAAATCCGAAAAAAATCCATTTCCATACCGCACACAGACGCAATTCAAGCTGCATTTGCCGCAACTGCAACGATTTCAGACACATTTTAGCGGCAGAAAATTCCAAGTGCATCTGGAACGTTTTTCCTTAAGGCCGCCAGCGAGATAATCTGGGTTTTATTGCCGCATTTCACTCATATTCGTCTGGGCCCGTAGCGACGATTTCCATCTGGATTAAAAAAGTTTTTTAACGCGGTTGAAAATTCGAGTTGAGTGTCGTTGAGGAACAGCGGTGCTTGTCTTGAAAGAAGAGCATGCGCTGGTTTAACTGAGCTTAACGAACTTTATTTGCATGAACCAATCCGAACAACTCTAGAGGATCGGTGAGGATCACCTGGAAAAGGGCCCAAACGTCGTCATTTTTTGATGAATTAGAGGAGTTGGATTTGAGTTTTTTGAGGAAGAGCCGTCTTGCATGCGACGGTTTGATTGAGCGAGGAAGAAATCTTCACAAATGGAGCTTAATGAACTTTAATTGCATAGAGGACCTTTGAGAATGACCTGGAAAAGGGTCGTCGATTGTTGTTCACCATGCGCTAGGTCTGGGTAACTCTGTGAATTTTTAGCAGCTGGCGCAGTGCTGCGCAAGTGGCTTGGTGCGCCAACCCAACGCACCGGCGCAGTAACTCAGTTCCGTTGTTGGGAAAATGTTGGGCTTTTTTTAGATTTATTTGAAAGACCGTTTATTAATAATATTTTTAAAATGTCTTTAAATTTCAGAATTTTCCAGTTTTAGCCAAGTTACACTTTCTTCTAAATGCTCAATTTTGTAAAGTATCACTTAAAAATGCTGACAATCTTTGGTCATTTATCTCAAGATTTCTATATACAACAGTCTATTAACCTTTCAACATTTTTCCACTAAGGCAAAGAAATTTTCTTGTGTCGAGTATAGGCCTGGGTAACTCAGTGAATTTTTAGGAGTTAACGCAATGCTACGCAAATGGCTTGATGCGCCACGCAACCGGCGCCGCAACGCACCGGCACGTATGTTGATAACTTTTTTTTAGTCGTTTTTAGATTTATTTTAAAGGCCATTTATTAATAATATTTTCTAAATGTCTCCAAATTTCAGAATTTTCCAGTTTTGGTCAAGTTACTTTTTTCTCTAAATGCTGAATTTTCTAGTTTCACTTAAAAATGCTGACAGTCTTAAGGTATTTTCGGCAAAAAAATTATGAAATAAATTTCGAATCCTTCGCCGCTTTGTAAGAAGTTTTGAAATCCCTTTCCAGCTTCCAATTTAGAACAAAAATAAAATTTTCTATCAAGAAATGAACAGAATTAGCGAAAGTTTATAACAGATTATTTCGAAATCTCGTCACCTCCATTCCTCTGAAGACTGTAGAATTTGTTAAAAAATGTGGTTTTTTAGTTTTGACTGTTTTTTTTGCTTTACTTTCTACTCAAAGACACTCTATTTTGAGAGTTTCACTTA